AAAAAAGGTTCACTTATAAGTACTTTACTCGTCAAAATTCTACTCTTGAGAGTAAAAAATAGTGTCTTTTCCATACTTTTTTTTACATGGACTGAAAGCAACAAGATTTATTCTGACACATCAGTCTTCATACATATTCCAATTCGTGATAGTCCACAATCGCGAATCTCTGTTTATTACTACATTACAAGCGATAGTAACTCTTGAAAAACCATACTGCATTGCATATATGAGCTTAACTAAATGATCATTTACTTTCTTACTTTTTATATTTGATGTTAGTGATGAAGATTCTCGTCTTATTAATGAAAATGGTGAATCCGTTGTTGCATTTGATTTTAAATTAGTCATATTATTCGTCGGTTGAAAACGTAATTGATCAATAGTATTTTCAGCTTGTGCATATTTTTCCAATAATTCTTCGTAATTTTCATGTAATTTATTTAATACATCTGTTGTTTTTTTACTATGTCGTTTTTGTTCTTTTAATTTTCGTTTAAGTTCATCTTCTTTTAAATTATTTGTTTCTCCGTCATCATCATTATCGTCATCATCATCGCTACTTGATAATCGTTTACAATTCGTTTTTGATGATGAAAGTATCATTGGAGATGTTTGTTGTGTAGTTTCATTTGTATCAATCGAAGGTAATACTGATAAATCTTCTCTAGAATAAACTATTTAATAAAGATTAAATTACAAATTCTTCTAACTGTTTATGTGTTTTTGCTTGTGGTAATGAATTTGAACGAACAGGAAGTTTTGAAGTAAATTTTCGATTTTCAATATTTGTTAATTTATTTGTTGGAAGAATCGATGTGTGTATTCGTGATAGTTTACCATTAAATTTATTTCGTACTAATGATGATTTTGTCTCTGATGATTCATCCGATGAAAATATATTCGTATTTTGTAATTGTTGTTTATTATCATCCATATTGATTGATTTATTTCGACTAGGAGAAAACTATAGACAAAATATATTGATGTATATCTCAAATACGTTGATAAATACTTACGATTTGATGAGAATTTAAAAATAAATTTTCATTTCGTTGAACTTTTAATGGTTGTGATTTAAGATAATTATTTTCACGTTTTACATTCGTTTTTCTCCAACTATCAGTGAATCTTGTAATTGGTCGAGTTAATTTATGTAGATGATTTTCTTTTTTCGCATTAAAACTGTCATTACTTGGAACAATACTAATATTATTATCATCATCATCCGAAGGACCTTCTAAAATACTATTTTCGTAATTGTATTGATCAACATTATTAGTATTATCGTTGTTGGAATGATTTTTCAATAATATATTTGAACTATTATATAGTAAAAATGGTAATGACGAAGGCATAAAAGTGTTTAAATTGAACGATTAAATTAAATGGATTGATTCCATATATTTTCAATAATAAATAGAAATGCAATGAATGAAGAAATAATCCATTATTCTCATTTTTTTCTCTTTTGAACGTTTTTAGTACATTTTACAATGAAGGACACATTAAAGAAGCACGAGAGAGTAATACTACTTGATCCGTTTTTTTTGTTTGATTTTCACTTTAAAAGAAAATGAATGACAAGTCAGTCTACTTATTCTTTACGTATGAAACCTTTTCGATTACAAATAATGAATTACACTTATTGAAAAAATACATTTTGAAAGCTGAAACTTAATAAATATTCATAGTCTAGACAAAGTATTCTCTTCATAAGTATATAAATAATCTTTTAAATGAATTCAAAAATGATTAAATCAGATATAAAAATACACTTTTTTTTGACTAGTTGAAATTTTAGTTTATTATATTAAGATTTATTGTTATATGTCAAAATATTAATATATCATTAATAGAACAATACAAATAAAAATATTTATATATAATTCAAATAGAATTATTGAAAAATTAAAATTTGATTTATATTGATGATTAATCCAATATCGAATTATTACTATAGTCTAAGTTTCGTATGAACAATAAGACAAACTTATATTCAATTTCGATTAGTTTACTTTTTATATAATTTCATGAAGTTTTTTAACAAACAATCTCGAGAGCATAATTCATATAAATCATGTAATTGTCTATTATTGTCTCGTAGTTCTGAGATCAGATATTGCGCAATCAAAATACAAATGCATAAAGTATATGTTAAGTGTATATACTTAAAAATGAATTCTATATGATAGTTTTAAGATGTATATTCAAAATCTTTTGATAGTATCAAAGCTCAAATTTCATTTATATCAATCTCAAGCGCCATCTTCACTCTTTAAAAAATAGTCATTCATGAATTATCTTCTTTCCAATATTTACCATTATATGAGAATTTTCTTTTAAATTTAAAATACATACTATTTGAATAATGTTTCTAATAATTGATTAACTATTTTTCAGACTAGAATTATACATATGACATCAAAAAAACAATTTCCAAACATTATCATTTGTGGAACACCTGGTAATTCATAAATTATTTTAATCTAACCTTATCTATTCTATTTGACAGGTGTAGGTAAATCTCGTCTTTGTCAAGAATTATGTTCATTAAATTCATCATTGAAATATATAAACATCAATGATTTAGCTAAACAAAATAAATATGTTCTTGAATATGATGAAGAAAATCAATGTGAAATACTCAATGACGATGCTATCAATGATTATTTTGATGATGAATATTTTCAAAAATCATTTTCATCAGGTCTTATTTTCGATTATCATAGTGCTGGAATTATAACTGATAATAATCGTATCCATGCAATATTTGTTTTACGTTGTCAGACTGATAAATTATATGATCGATTGAAGCTTCGAAATTCTTCCGAGAAAAAACTTGAACAAAATATTGAATCAGAAAATTTTCAAATTTGTTTAAATGAAGCACATGAAGCATTTGATGAATCACTTGTTCATGAACTTATTAATACAACAGAAGATGATTTAAAAAAGAATGTAGATTATTTATCGAAATGGATTGATCAATGGCCATTCAATGAAATGATGGATTAGAAATGAAATAGGCAATTTTCTTTCTTGTTATTTTAAAAATCATTGTTCAAATAAACACGGACGAAAGGAGGAGAAGATTAATTGTATATTTTTGCATTTGAAGATTTCTTTTGTAATAAACTTATGTTCATATACACTTAAATCATAAATATAGATCTTTGATAAATTAGATAATATTAAAGAGCATAGAGGATGAAGTCTTATCCTGAATGTGATAATGAGTCATTTCGTTGTTTTCGGTATTTATAAATATTCTTGAGCTTGTGCAGTCTTAGCTACACTTCAATTCTCGATGAGAAACATATTTTCATACGGTAAATATGAGTCTGTCTACCAAGAAATAGACATTAAACAGAATAACAGATATTAAAATGAATTTTATAATTAAAAAAAAACGAAAAATAGATTTTGAAATATCGATAGTAGCGCTTGATATTGAATTGGTTATTTTAACAATAAGATAGTATAAAGAACAAAGATCAGTTACATGGATAATAATAAAAACTGTTTCATGTAATTTAAATAAAATGGCATTAACAATGAGAATGGCTGAACCAACACCAAGACGGTATAATGAGTATTATAGTTCTTAAATAAATATCTTGTTTATTTTAATTTAGTTCGTTAGCTGCTCGACGTCGTACAACAAAACTTTTAACATTTGAAGATGATAATTATGAAAAAGAAAATTCTCTTAATGAAAGTCTTAAAGGACGACGACAATCACGTTTATTTAATAGTTCTATTAACATCGAAACTATTAATGACGAACCAGCTCAAACACCAACACAATTAGTTGATTTATATCAAAAAACACTTGAATTAGCTGCTCAAGGAAAAATTAATGTTAAAAATGCATTTAGTATTTCACTTGTCGAACGATTACCACAAGTTTTAAATGCTATTGCACTGGATGATATTGAACATCATCATCTAGGACCAAATTTTGTAAAAGCCGGTTCAGTTATTGATACTAGGTTAGTAAAACTATTAGGAATACGCAGCTAAAAATGTCTAATGACTCAATTCCTATTCGGTTAGTTTCGAGGTTCTATAAAACAATCACACATCATTATTCAGTAATCATAGAACTGCGCTAACATAGGAGGAAAGTCCTATATCTCTTAATGTAATTCCCGGAAAAAAAATTTTTTCTTCATCTTTTTAGTGCTAAAATCTATGGTTTTCGTGTCGATGCTTTACATACTGAAACGCAGAAATTAAGTGGAAATATTTTAAATACTGAAGAAGAAAATGCAACGAATGGAGAAAATACAGAAGAAAATCGTATTGAAGGTGGTAATGAAAATATTGATTCAGAACAAATTGAAGCGAAAAAA